ACTGCTTGGCCTCGGGAACGGGGGAGCTGCTGGGGCCGAGGTCGCCCGGGGCGGCCTGGGGCCTGGCACCCCGCAGCCGGCCTCTGTGCCGTCCCGCGTCTCACTCGTGGGCGCTTGTGTGGAGACCGGGGATTTCACGTGAAGGCGGTTCGTGCCAGAATCGAGGCCAAGATAACCCTGTTTTTAACCAGAAACGGGAAAAGCTGTGCTTTTCTCAAGTGCACAACGATGCCTCTAACCTTCATAGGACGGCATTTCTCCTACACGGGTGCGAACCTATCTCTGTGCTTGTGTACTCCTCACCTGAGGAATTTGAGGGGGAGAGGGAAAGGAGCCCATTCGGCCTGGAAGAGTGAGCTTTCCCCTTTTTAGACTCCAAAAGGACATTTCACATGCTGCGTGTCTTCTCATTCCAGCCTGAATTTTTTAGAGTGAAGGCGTAGTACAGACAGCTGAATGCAGAGTTCTGGTGGGGTTGGACTGCAGAGATGTCAGCAGCTGCTCTTCTAGCATATTAGTCACTAAAAACACTTTGTTCTTGCAGACTGGCAACGGAGGGAAAGATGATGGTAATTGACTTAAGGTTGGCATTTTGTGGCAGTTTGCGTTACAGATTTGAGTCATATTTGAAAATTAAGACTTTAAAAAGAGTGTAGAGGCTGTATTGGAATAGAATTTCACTGTCTTTTACATTTTATTTAGGAAATAAAAAGAAGACAGCTAGCAGAAGCTGCTGAAAAGAGGCAGATGGAGGTAATGTCTGATAAAATGCCATTTATTCAAAATATATTTAAGTAACTGGGGGAAATAGCTAGAGCTTTTGTGGGAACACTGGATATCATGCCTGGATTGCGGGAATTGGCATTAAATATTTTCATAGTAGTATTAATGTTTTATACCATTTTTTAATATATATTTTCAGTAGAATTTCACAGCTAGGTAGGTGCTCAAAGACCACTGTAAGATCACTGAGCTTGTTTGGATGGGAGAGGTTTTGCAGTAAAAAAAAAAACAAAACCTAAGAATTAGAAGAGTAAGTTCCACATTATTTCCTCATTATAAGACTTGAAAACAAGAGATTGAGAAATATTTCAAAGCCAAGTTGTCAAACAATTGTTGTGGTGGCAATTTCAAGTGGTACTGCACTTGTACTTCTCTTACGAATGCAGGTTATGGGCACTTGCAAGTTTAATGTATCCGTGTGGCAACAGTTGAACAGTTGAACACGTTTCTCAGCTCAAATTCCAGCAAAGAAGAAGTATTCTTTTTAATTCTTTGTTTCTTCTATCTTTTTAAGGTTACTAAGCTTTAACTACTTCAATATCCTTCAAGTTAGAAGAGATGGGATGCAAATGTTCTAGCAGAATGTAAAACTAGCTAGCCTATTGCTTCCTTTCCATACTTCTCAAAAAAGCTTATAACAATACACCACACGAAAACTACAATAAGTTAAAAGTGTATCTTAGAGACCGCAGCTGAACTATGAAGAGAAAGGAATGTGTTATTTGTATGAGTGTTAGTGACATCACATGTTGAATTAAAAATTGACCGTTATTGATGAGGACTCGGTTGGCCTGGTTTTAAGGGAGTTTGGTGAATATCTGGAGCAACAGCTGAGTGGTGCTTCAGAGTCCTTTAAAAACTCTTGATTTTGTGTCAGGCCGTATACTAAAAGCAATCCACCTGTAATCTTAAATCACAAAGAGTTTTTTAAGCATATCTGTAGGAAATACACTTTTGAGGATCATGTGAAAGGCAAGTGTCCCCATCTGGCTCATAAATTGCTAAAAAGCTTTCCTGAGAGCGAGGAGAAATGAAGCATCTTGCATTATGGATGGCTTTGAAGTTCTGTGGTAGGCGTAAAGCTGCTAAAGAAAAATGGAAGTATCACTCCCTGTTACTTTTTGTTTCCCTAAAAGACAAAGAGATAAAACATCTTCCAGGATTTTTCAGGACTATCTTTGAGAGCATTTTAGCCTCTGAATGTTGGGTAGTGGAGATGTCTTACAAGCAGCCTAGTTCAGTTTCCGCCTTGTGAGGGACAGGGGAGTAGATCAGACGTCCTTCTCTGCTTGGTGTTTTCCTGTACATGCTTCTTAACTGTTCATTATCCAGCCTGAAGTTGTGTGACGTGTTCGTTCTTTTGGGGTGCTGTAGAGACAGTCTGGGTTCTCAACTCATTTGGAAGGCCAGTTGCCTAAAAGCTAGACATCACAGAGTCTAAGTTAGCCAAATCTTACCAACAAATACTTAGTAGCCCGTTGAGGATGGTGCTTGTCATCAGGGCCTTGAAGTTCAGGCGAGAGCATTGCTGTTGTCCCTTGGCAATTTTAACATCTTTTGTATAGCTTATGCTGTAGTATCATAACCCTAAACTTAGCTAAGAATCAATTTTTAAAACATTTTCTTTCTAGGTTTACAGTGTTAACTGTTTGTAGTTCTGGTACTCCTGCCGTCTAGTCTAGGTCCTCGTTAGACCATGACCGTAAGGATGTGAAGCAGGCAATGGTACTCCTGCCGTCTAGTCTAGGTCCTCATTAGACCATGACCGTAAGGACGTGAAGCAGGCAGTTGACAACATATTTCTCATCTGTCATCCACGCGTCCTATGAAGCTTGAAGGGTAGACTATCACACAGGTTATTTCTCACAGATCACAATTTAGAAGTTGTGTTTCTCACAGCCTGGGCTAGCACTACTAATACAACCTTTTTTCTCTGTGGCATGTAAAGTTTCCATCAATTTCCGTAGTAGCTATACAGAGCTTGTGACTTTGTCTGCTTATTGGGTGTTAGAATAGAAGCTGTCATTATGATTTCCATCATCTGCATCGTGTCTGTGGGTAGCCTTCTGATAAAAAGAGATGGAAGACATGGACAGATGATGAAACAGCTGAAGTTCTTGGAAGTTCTGTCTGCCTGAATCATCTCTATCCAGTAATTCTGTTTGTGAGGGCAGGAATAGGCCCTGACACTGGAAAAACCACAGACTAAAATTTTACGGGACTTTTGGGAAGGGAGGTTCTGGTTCTGCATCTTAGGATGCAAAGCAGGTACATATAATTGCATTAAATATAGTCACCTGGATGTGCTAACAATATGAAACAAAAGCACCCTCACATACCTATGGGACCAAGAGCTTACATTATGAAGAATTATCCTGAAAGGTCTATGTTTTAAATAATAGTAGCATTACTTAATGTCAGTCTTTTCATGCAAACCAGAGTTCACAAAATGGTGCTGCCAAGACTTGCAGTTTGGTTTCTATCCAGAAAAATAGCTAACCGGTCTTACCCAAATGTGTTTTCTCCCAGGCTTCCTCTCGAGGTATTAAGAATGCTTACTCTGTAGAGCAAAAGAAAAAGAAACAGGAAGAAATAGAAAAAAGAATTGCAGCTTCAGGTTCTGGAGGAGAAGGAGGACTGAGAGTAAGTTTAAAAAAGAAACAGCATGATTCAACTGTTTGTATATTCACTGAGAAAATCCTGTTTTGTTGTCGTCTACAAGGTTGAATAACTTGAGGAAAAAACAAAAGGAAGGGAAATGGAATAGAAATGGATGCATGTGTCATTATCATGCAGTGTTCTCAATGAGACTTCATTTCTGGGGCACAAAGACAGCAAGGATGGCACAGAGCTTATTTTTTCCCCCTCTTCTTTCCCAGTTTCTGCACCTACGATGCATCAGTTTTACAGTACTCTCAGCACTGGGGACCTCCTCACTGAGTTGGCCTGTACTCAGTGTCCCTTTTCAGTATTGCTTGAGATGAGCTCTGAGGAAAGAGAGTCAATAGAAAATGTGTGAACTAAGTAGGGTAATGGCTTTGGGTTTCATGTATCTCTCTACAAAAAGAAACATACAGCGTTGTCATAGATACTGATGAACTTTACTGCTGCTACTACTGATTTTCTAATGTAAACTTTGTCTCAGAAGGCCAAGCAGAGATTTAATTAAGAATTAGAATATCTCCAAGGCAATAGATGCATCTGGTTATTGAAACGCAGGCTTCATAAGCCTTCATCTCTTACCCTCATGGCTGTATATGACTCAGGGGGCAGGAGTTTGTATAAGCTGCTGCTCGTGGGCTGCATGTCCCTGCTGGATATAAAAGGTGTTAGAATGAGGAATTTATTGTAAATAGACAACTGTGGTGTTTGGTTGGGGTTTTTTTGTTTGGTTGGGTTTTCTCCTTTCTTTCCACTATCTTCATACAAACCTGTGGCGTGTTTTGTTGTTTTTATCTTTAGTGGCAGGTTGGATAAAGAAGTATGACTTCTGAAGAGAAGAAGGTTGACATTTACTGCCAATAACTTGCCAGTTTCTGCAGCTGAGTGGCACTTACTCATCATGTGGCTTTTGCTGTTTGCATATGAAGACTCAGCAGTATTTGCCATTGTGGGAGAACCGATGTGGAAACATACGCTAAGAAACTTCAGAACTAACTCCGAACACTTAAGTTTTGGCCAATTTTTTTTATTTGTTTTATGTGCATGTTTTATTGCTTCCCTGTCAAGGGAGCGAGGTGTGTTTTCTCACATGGAAGTGGCCTCCTTACCTCTAGTCGGTCAGTATGTGTATGCTGTCTGGTCAGTTGATGTACGTATGTCTGTGTATGACTGGCTTAGGCACGGCTCAGGTGCCCACGTGTTGGTTTTGACGCTTATTTCAAGCTCTACAATTAAACTTCTCTTAAGTCATCATGTACAAAGTCATTCATAAATATATATATATATTTGAATACGTGGGTGACAGCATTTCTCTTCAGTTTCCTGGTGACTTTTGAATGGCTTAGGGATTTAGTGCCTTTTTCAAAAAAGAAAGCAGATCCATGGTGGGTCCTTGCAAATGGAAGCATTTTGTGACACTAGTTAAAAAAAACAGAAACCTTTATAAACCCTGTATACTTGTAGCAAGAAAGCTGTTTTATTATCAGTCTAAAAACTGTTCTCGTTTTCTGATGTGGATTTCTTTTAAGTCTGTAAGTATTTATAACGAATACTGGAAGTTAAACATTAAATTAAAGTACTGTTATTAACTGTTCTCCTTTATTACCACAAGAGGGCAATGCTGCACTTCTCAGGATTTTGGAAAACAAAAGGCTTACTACGTCATCTCTTGGGTGGTTCATTTCCTAAAGTCTCTGTACTGCCTAGGTGGGTTTGTTACAGCGCAGTAACACTTGCTAAATGCCCAAAGCTCTGTCACTTTTATTCTGTATTCAGCAATGTCTGTAATCCCTTTGCCAAATGGGAAGCTGCCTTTGATTATTTAGAGCTACCTAAACACTGGTGGTGTAACTAGACTTACTAGACTTTCAAACTGGTGGCCTCAAGCCACTGCTTTGATAGAGGAGGGAAGTTTGTTGCAGCACAATCAACACTAAGAATCTAGCTCTTACTTTCCTCAGAGAGCATTATGCTTGGCCTCGGTATCTTACTGGCCCCATTTCTGACCTAGTTTAGGCTATAGAGGCTTTTTTTTTTTCCCTTGAACTAAATAGTTCTTCTTTTACCTGCTCCAGTAGTGTCTCATGCTGTCTTAGGAGCACAGTCCTGACACAATGAGTTTCCTGGCTTAGCCTTCAGAATTGAGTTGAGAAGGGAGATTTTTTCAATGTTAATACAATGACGTTTGGGCTAAAAAGCTCTGTCCTTGGCAGGTGAATACCTTCAGTTTCTTTTGAGTGCTGGCAATTGCTTTTTTCACTGTATTAGCTGGTCATAGTGAATTTTTTTTAAGGCTAATGAAAATGCATTGAATTATAATAAAATATACTAAACATTAATTTGAAATGAGAATTTCGATCTGACATCTGTCACAGCGGGTATCCTACAAAGACGCTTAAGCAGCTCTTAACGCTTAGCTGGTCACTTGGGATATTTCAAACTTAATATGTTCTTCTCTTCATCCTCTGTCATACTGCTCCCCCAAAACCATAAGGGGAGGAAATAACCATCAGTCTCTTTTCATTCAAGGCCCTACGGTATGAAAGGGCTAGCACACTGACCAAATAGGTGTCTGTGCATGGATTAATACCATGAAGACTTTCATTTAAAACCATTGAAATAACCTAGTGAAACAAACCGCAGTTCCTGGGTCACCCCTTGATGTTTTGATGCTGTCAGAATTGGAGGAGCTCCCAGCGTGAAGCAGTCATAGCGCTGAGCTGCCCATCCTGGCTAGGCAGCCCAAGGCAAGCCTGTTCTCTTCTGCTCCAGGTGCTGTCACCAGGAAAGATGCCTGCATTTGAGTAAAAGATTAGCACCCTGTCTGCACACCCACCCTGCTCCTCCTCCAGCTCTTAGCCCTGCAAAGACAGTTGGCTGGCTTGTGGCTGGCTGCCTGGCAGCTTTCCTGGAAGGTGGGAGGAAAGGTCTGAACTGCCTCAGTTCAAGGGGACCTTCTATTTAAGAGGTGATTCCTGCAATTTAGAATTACTGTAGAAGAAAACTGCTCTTCTCTGTCTCCCTTCTTTAAATAAAACCCAGATAGGTCTGTGCGTCAGTTCAAGGGGACCTTCTATTTAAGAGGTGATTCCTGCAATTTAGAATTACTGTAGAAGAAAACTGTCTCCCTTCTTTAACTAAAAACCAGATACGTCTGTGCGCCTTGTTTTGAATGTCAAATTTATTCCTACAGCTAAAAGAAACCCATTAGAGGATTTGGGAGCGTGTAGCTCTCTATTACAAGTCACTGGTTGATAAAGCTATTTTTAAAGAGGTTTCTATACCATACCCATCTAACTGTTCAGATGGCCAGTCTGAACTAAATCTGGGAAATTATTAGAGTAAATAAAACCAGCTTTTGTTGGTTTAAGATTTTTGGTAACACTGATTTCAGTTGAGAATGAAAGCAGAAAATGCTGCAGTTCAGTAGTATGCAACTGATAGCTACTGGTAAGGCTGAGCGCTGCATAGATTAGAGCTGCTCTGTCCGTGTAGAAATAGACGCCTCCCCTCTCTTACCACTTAGTGCTACCCTCAGTAAATATGAAACACCATAGGAATTTTGTCCTCATTTTCCCCAGCCTTGGACGTTTACTTCACCTTAGAGGCTGTTAAAATACATCCATTCATGGATATTATCTAGGCAGTTGACATCTTGTTTGCTTTACAGCAGTACAACTCTATCTTTCTTCTCCACCACCTGAAAGCATTTTCTTGCAGATCCCTTGAAAAACTCCTGGCAGTGAAGGACCAGTGCTTGTAAGCTGAAATGAGAGGGCTGGCTCTGGGTGACTGCGCTAGCATGGTCTTTGTTGCAGTAACAGAAAATCAAACCATCTGCTACTGCGTATTGTTAACATAGACAGATTGTGCCAGGGAGAGAGCATTTGGGGCAGAACTTGCTGAGGTTTGGGAGGACACAGAAGCTGCGTCTCCACAGGGGTGGGCAGCAGTGCTGCGGGCCCTGAGGAAAACAGATGACTTCAGCACGTGGGTTTGGCACAGCGACAGACTAAATCCTTGGAACACAGCTCGTCAGGCACAAGCAGTGCCAGCAGTTGGACTGGGATGGAAAAACCTCTCCAGCCTCATAAACGTTCGCGTGATTCCACGTGTCTGTTTCACCTTACTTTAGATTCCTAACATACCGCAGGCCAGGAAAGTAGGCGACACAGAGTGAAGAAAAAGCATTCCGCCTCCTTCCCTGTCAGGTACTGCATAGCAGCAGCCAACGAGGCAGTACAAAAATGTAAGCCCCCAAAAGAACCAAACTCTTGCAAGCATCTCTAGCAGATGCTTCTGTAACACTGTGGTGTGGCAAACAGCTCATCTCCCTGATCTAAAATGAACACATATAATGAATTCAGTGTTGGGTCTTAAGACGCTTGCTATACATTCTCGCACACGTACATTGACACCTCATTTCACTCATCCCCACCACCAGCCCTTAACTAGCTTCTGATTTTATGTAGCATCTCTAAATTGCTGTTGGAAAAAAGGTGGTAATGCAAAGAAAGGAGCAATTATCACTATAATAAAGATGAGGAAAAAAACCTGTCTTCAATCAGCTAGGCAAATAATCCTGCTTGGAAGAAAAACTCCAGGTAATGTATGAACAGCAAGGTGACAGAAAGTACCTCCTGTAACAGGCAATGACGCATGTTACAGTTACAGTTCCAAACTAATTCTGAATTGCTTCAAATAAGCATGGTGATGCTTATTTGACATTATATAATAATAGTTTTTATAAGTAATCTTGCATAATTTAGCCATCTTGCATTTTAGCAGAGTTACTTGTTCACAGCCTGCAGGAGCTCCCATGGGGTTTGTTCCATGACCCTACAAGGACTTCGAGAAGAGGCTTCATTGCAGTTCAGAACAGTTCAGCTTTTTAGCACTTTCAGCCTCCTCAACATTCACGTTCAGCTGAGTTCTACAGCACCAGAGTAAACTAAAAATCACTACATGGCACTCTTCCTTAACAATCACCTTCCATGGCTAGGTCAACATTTCAGCATCTCATCTCCTGCCCTTTTAACAAGAAACTCTTCCACAGTCTCAGCAGACCCTCCCTCGCTTGGGGGGATAAGGGAAGAGCTGCAGGTCTTCCCTGCTGGTACTCTACAATTCAGGTCAGCCTCCTAGAAATCTACATCACATACCTTAATACCATAGATTTTGGCATACAAACTTCAAGTATCATCCGCTATAGTTAGCTGGTCAAAGAATGGGTGGTTGGGTGTTTTTTTGCTCCCCAAGTACTTCCTACCTGAAGTCTGTTCTGTCCCCATCGCTGCAACAAGGGCCGTGCCTCTTTGAGCAAGATTTTGCTGCTCAGCTTTAGCTTTGTAAATTGAGCCTTAGGCTCCTAACAAATTCCCCAACTCCTACGTTGCTGTAGGCCCCAGTACGCTAAGAAAACACCATTTATCAGATCAGCAATATTTACTTTCTGAATAGCATACTCCCAACCCCTTCCTCCAGAGCAAACTAGCTTACTATGGTTTTTTGGTTTATTTGTTTGCTTTATTGATGCTCCGACTTTAATTTCCTCCTCTGCTATCCACACCCACACCAGGTGCATCAAATGCAAGAAGTCCCACCTGCAAGCTTTTTACACAGATTAGGTGGTAGTGGCAACACTTTAAAAAGTCCTTTATAGGTCTCCCATTCTAGAACTGGCTAAATTGAAGTTTTAAGTTAGGAAGTATTTTAATGTGATTTCCCCCCCCCCCCAAGATTCTTCAGTACCCTGAATCAAGAAAGACTATTTTGATAGCTACAGTCCAAGCACATAAAGCAGTTCAGGTTTAATTTAAAATCTTGGTTTTGATTTACCAGGATTATTTGTTGAAGATTAAGATTAAAATAAACCTAAGAATTCTTTTTTATAATTATCTGCTCTTGATTTATTAACATGTAAACACCTTCAACTATTTTCAAGAAAAAACATAATAGCAATGCAAACTTAATCTTGGATGATGGAAATACAACTATGTTTTAAAAGGTAACCGTTATTTCAAAATAAACATCTGACACTTTCACAAGTGATTTTTTTCTTCTTCTCTGTTCATTTGAAAACAGATTTCTCAGTGCATATATTATGATTTTTTTCAGCTGTGCTGCATTTTTTTCAAATAATGTTGCTTATAGTCTGTTCTCCACTCCCATATGGGCTACATACATTGCTTCTATGAGCATTGGGTCTTCCTATAGCTTTTCAAAGGATTTACTGCTCAAGCGTATGTTTAATCTTCCTAGAAAATGTCTCAAAATAAGAACAAAAAGCTGTAATTTTTCATTCTAAAAATGCGTTTGGAATTATGCACTGCTGCTTAGTATGGTGCACCAAGCAATTGTGAACTGTTTGTGTTTAGCAGATATTTTTAAATGGTGAGGCAGAATGGTTCCACAGAAGTGAGATACAACGTGCTGGTTTTAATAAGGCATGGAACGTGAAAGAAGGTCTTGATCCTGTCTAGCCAGTAGATATTGTGCTGTTAATTTTAAAGACCACAGGAGCAGATCATAAGGCTATGTTTTAAAATTAAACATTAAAAAATACAGAAAAATACCAGTTAAAAACTTTAAAAATTTCAAAACGCTTTTAGTTTTTTTCTTTCCCTGCAAAGGAAAATTAACTTTTAATAAAATCTGGGTATTTCTGTGCTATCTGTAATAAGTGAATGCTTGCCCTGTTCACTGCGTAGCTCATTATTAGATTAGCAAGCAGCGTTGTATATTGTAGGCATCCAGTCAGTAGCGGCAAAGCATAGGAACACAGGTTACAAATAATAAATAAGACTTTCAAAATAGTATGAGTATTTAAAAAAATTTTATTTCATTTGTAATGAAACAACTGAGTTCTGCTCAACTTTATACAGTCAGTGAAATAATCCTATAAAATGATTTTTCTAGGACATTACAAGGCACATAAATTACCAAATATAAACATAGAAAAGTAGCCAAAATAATGAACTAAGCCCCCATACGCCTTTAGCTATTTTAGAGGTGTGTGAATGATTTACAAGCATGTGAATCACTCTACTGACAGGGTAATGAATATTTCACATTTGGCATGACCAACAAAATTAAAAATAAGGGGAAGGAAAAGCTCAGATTCAAGAACAGTGTAGTGTTTTGTGATTCCGGAGGGACCAGCATCTTCTGAAGCTCCTCCTTGGGTCAAAGAGCTGTGCGTCGTTTACTGTTTCCCTTCACGGATCGCAGCCCATCGCCCCGCTCGTCCAACTGACCGCCTCTATTGTCCAACAGAGGAAGGGGCAACCTCTCAACTTCCCCGTGCTTCTAAATTGGGCAACTTTGTGAAAAACAGGAAGGATCTACGTACAGATCGAACACTTATAATTGTCTTTAGCTTTAAAGAGTAGAAGGTGTGTGGGGGTTTCTTGGGCTTTTTTTTTTTAAGTAATCACTTTGGGAAGTTGTTTGGCATGCAATAAGGCTTTATATTCTACTGGTTATGTAAATCTTGCAACCCATAAAAATAGTCAATTTTTATTTCATTATTACCAAATAATTTCCACAAATAATTCATTTTCCACCTGCATATATATTTTTCAACTAGCCTAACAGTCAAGGATTCAATGTAATAAGATCTTCATTACAAATATATTGTATTGTGTATTTTCTTCCATTATCAGGATCCACTCCTTTATGTAACTCTAAGTATACATTCACATATTAAAGAGTAATAATTTGGCTAAAAATATATGTCTGTTTCTTATCTGATTGTAGTAATTAGCCTATCAAGGGTAATTTGCTATAAAAGATACAGCACTAGAAATAAATAGTTCTACAATTCAAAGATCTTCAAAATGGGTTGCCATTTCCAGTCTGTCTTAAATTTTCCAAAGTCCTTTTAAAGCATAAACTAAATTTACTACACTTGAGAAAATGGTTTGGACCTACGTACATAGAGTCCCAATCACATGAGAAGCTTATTTCACTTAATCTCCTTCTTGGATTTGTAATGGGCAGAAACAACCAGGTAATTGTCTGGATTCATGTCCCTGAGGGTTGGAGACTTGCTCTGGATTGGAGAAGTTTTCCCATCCACTCGGGAGATCTGCAACATTCGGCACGGGTCATGCTTCAGCAAGTAACCTGCAAAAGTCTCCCATCCTCCTCCAACACGAACCATCACATGTTTGTTGTGCAGCATCTGAAATCACACACAGAGGAAAAAAACAAACCCAAAACTCTTGAGAGGGACCATTCAATGGGAAATCACATTTTTTCTATTGGAAAAAGCTATGCTTACTTTAATTAAGTCACAGACATATGTTGGTAGTCTGCTCTATAATAAAAGGAAAGCCAAAGAAATAGTAGAATGGATTTTTATTTGAATTTAATAAGTAAATGAAAAAAAAGTAAGAAAATTAGGTAGTATTTAAAACTAAAGATTTAAACAACGTTACATGGTTTTCTAGTCCTGTAGCAGCGAGTGATCCCGTTCTTCATGTGTTTAGTGTAAACATGTTCGGGAACATGAATATTTTTCAGATTAATTTTTTGAAAATATGTTAGTAAAGACACCATTTTATATGTCTTGAAACTGGCTTCTTTTTACAGGATAGGGATCAATATAAAAGGAGTAGTGAAGAGCAAACAACCAAAACAATCTCCTCTGTCTCCTAAACTATAGAAAAAGTTATTTAAGAAAATGAAGTACCATTTAGTTTAACAATTTAGTATTGCTGATATACTTTCTAACTAAAATAGTCTAATGTTGTAATTAAATTAGTCTAATGAGGGACATCCTAAATAATGTATCTGGAACTGTTTGGAGACACCTAAATTTATGCTGAGTTCTGAAAGAAAGTACAAGAAAAGTCCCCAGGCTCTTACTAGTGAGACAGCTCAGTACTGCTTATACTTACTGCCTTTTATTCCAGAAACACTGGGCTCAACCTGCAAAAGACTTTCAGGTTGAGAGGGGTATCTAACTGCCAAATTAGGTACCTATCTCTAATGTATACACTCCAGATCCACACTCATTTTCTGCCTAACCTCAAATAAAATTTTTCACCAAGTACCAACGTAACTTCTCCCACGTCTGCACCTGTGAGTTCAGCTGGCAATTTCACAAATTTCTCTCCTCCAGTTCTCTGC